TGATGAACGATTTTGATACTTTAGTCGGAGCTTTTAGAAATATCTCAATTAGTGAAAGTAATTCAGATATAAAAAATATGACGCCAAGTAATTCTACCCCTCAACGGGCCCAAATTAATTGGGACCTTTTCAAATCTAAACTAAATAATATCAGACCTTTTAATGGTGAAAGTGATTATTTAAATAAGTTTATTACTAGATGTGAGAAGTTTATTGATTCTTATAAGATTTATAATGATGTAGAATTAAACATACATGCATTTGAATGTGTACAAGAAAAATTAGAAGGTCGTGCCGAATTTATGGTAGGCAATAGAGTAGAAATTGACACTTGGCCAAAATTAAAAGATGCTTTGTTACAAGCTTTTGCAGATCGACGTGATCTTGATTGTCTCGTCCAAGAACTAACAAGGACTAAACCTCTTAAAGGTGAACACCTTATTGATTTTGGTAGTAGATTACAATTAATTAAAAGTAGCGTAGTACAGAGAATAAGCAATGATCTTTACATTGATCAAAATGATAAAATTTGTCAAATTAACCATTATAATAAGACAGACTTAAATACTTTTATAGCTGGTTGTAGTGGAATTCTAAAAAATAATATGCACCTTAAAAAACCAGATTCTTTAGAGGATGCTATGGCGTACGTAAAAGAATTTAATAATTTCCAAGATTTGTACGGAAACATAAATGACAGAAATCTTCAACAAAATGGATTTTATTCTAATAATAACAGACAAACTTTTTCAAAAAATAATACAAATTTTAATCAAAATCAAAATTTTAATCAAAATCACAATTTTAATCAAAATAGATTCCAAAATTTTGTACCAAATAATCAACAATTAAATACACGTTTTCAAAATTATCCAACAAACAGGCAAAATTTCCCTAGTCAGCCAATTAATGTAGAACCTATCCCACAAAATAAAAAATATTTTACAAACCGCCAGGTATTTGGCCCACAAAAAAATGTCTTTCGACCAAATCAGATTTCTGAAAGTCAGTTACCAAAACCAGTGCCGATGTCCACAACATCGCGAAATCCTAGTTTACAAACAAGAAGACCATTTAATTATAATAATAAATTTTTCCAAAACTCTAATCAAAATTCAAAACCAAATTTTGTTTTTGAAGAGTTACATTCAAATCAATATAGTGATTCTAACCCTAAATTTGAATATGATACAGATTTGTACCATAATGATTGCGATAATTTAGATCAATACCAAAGTCAAAATCATGAATTTGATAATGAACAAATTTTTAATGAACATAAAAATGAAGAAGACAGCTCAAATCAAAATTTTCGGGCTGCCGGCCCGTCAAAAGTGAAACGATAATAGAAATAAATAATTTTTCAAAAAACCCTTTACCATATATAGAAATTTCTCACCCTAGATTAAAATTACTGATAGATACAGGTAGTTCCGTATCAATAATTAAACCCTCTGTTATCGAAACAGATACTATTTATCACTCAAATGTTGTAATAACAACAAGTTGCGGTAGTAAGAATTTAAGATATCAAGCATCGGTTCCCGCATTCCCAGAATTTAATCGCAATAATTATCATATCAATTTCATTTTGTACGATTTTCATCATTATTTTGACGGAATATTAGGAATAACAGATTTAAAAAATATGAACTTGAATATCGACATCACTAATCAAAAATTAGTCGGATATAATACAGAAATACCCTTCAAATATAGACGAGTTGACGATGTAAAATTTTCATTCTCTGCGAATTCCAGAGAAACAGCTATCAAAAAATTACCAGTCAGCGTTTACAACGGTGAAATTTTAGTTAAAGCACAAAATATTAAAAATAATTTAGGGACTATTCCTTCTAAACTTAATAAAAATATATCGGAATTAAACAATTTTGAAACCAAATCTTTGGAAGATATTTGTTTTGAAACAAACTTGTATAAACTTTTTGAAACTGAAAATAGTGATAATAATTCACAAAAAATCAACAGTAATTTATATAAAAATAATTTAGGAGACAATGCAATATCTCAAAATAAAATGGATGAAATTAATACTTCAGAAATCGAATCTTTAGAAATAAATATAAATGATATCGACAAAATAGTTCATGAAGAGTTAGTAGATTATTTTCCTAAATTAGATCAAAAAATAGATATTAAAAATGACGATCAAATATTTGATATCGATCAACTATACAAATTAAATGTTATGCCGACCAATAAAGAGTTTTCTAAAATAAATCCGTATAATAAAAAAGAATTTACATTATCAAATAAAAATATTAAAACTAGAACAAATACAATACATAAATACAAGAAAAAAGAAAAGAAAGAATTTTCATTGCCAAATAATAAAATTAAAACCAAAATGAAAAAACTAGGAAAATATAAATGTAACAGGAAGAAAATAAAATTTAAATGTTTTCCAAACTTTAAGAAAAAAGGAACAAAATTCAAAAACTATTAAGTACTACTCTAATAAAAATAAACCTATTTTTATTTAAATTACGCTTCTAATTTCGTTAAAATTAAAATAAATAATAATAATAAAACACACAATCTTAAATTACAATAATTCGATTCACTCTGTTACCAAATTTATACCATTTGAAGTCATTAACAGTCACATAAATAACCCTGATCCATTTGTGGTCGTCTAGGTACCACTTAGTAATTTCCCACTATGTTCAAAATCACAAAGAAGCTAGTAAACAATTGTACGAAAAAATTAGAGAACGTAACGAAAAAACTAAAGAAAAAATAATAAATAAATTGAACACAAAAAGGGTCCGATCCGCCGGACTATTCAAAACAAAAAATAGTTTACGTTAAAACTAAATCAAGAGATAAAAAACTCCCTAAATTTAAAGCTACTAAATTAATCAAAAATAAAAATGTCTTAATTAAAACCAATAAAGGAACTTATCACAAAAGTATTGCACGAAAACCGAAAAGTAATAAAAAACAATTGTTACAGGATACCGATGAACACGAAGATCTTGATGATCTACCTGGTCCTTCAGGTACATCAAATGACCTGTAATGGAGAAGATATACAAATTACTAAATTAGAAAACCTGCTTCTTCCTATCCAATTAGGAAATGCTAGATTAGTTTATAGTAAACATACCTTTTTACACTACGTAGATTTAAGTACCCTTGTTAAGCAAATAGATAGTTTAGTTCAACATTTTAGAATAGTATTAGGTAGTATAACGCAAGTAAATGTTACAAACCCCGTATCATATCATGGATTATCTCAAAGCATGCTAACAAGAACGGAATATTTAATTAATATTATTCAGAAAAAATTTAATAATTTAAATCCACATATCCGTAATAAAAGAGGCCTAATTAATGGCATTGGAAAATTGAATAAATGGCTCTTTGGAAATCTAGATTCGGACGATGAAAACAAATATAACCAAGCTATCAGTTTATTACAAAAGAATCAGAAAAACCTAATTGACGAAACTAACTTACAAATTTCACTCTATAAAAAACTTATAGATCATTACAATAAATCAATTACTATTTTGAGTAAAAATCAAGAAAAGTTTAATAATGGTTTGGAAAAATTTTCAGCATCAGTTTACAATAAAATAGAAACTCTCGAACGTTATTTAAGCTTTCAAGGTGTTCTATCCGAGCTTAATCTAGATTGTCAAGCAACTATAACATTTATCGATAATTTAGAAAACGCTATTGTATTCTCTAAACTTAACTCCTTGCATAGCTCCATAGTTTCTAGTTCAGAAATAATAGATATGATAAATCACTTACATGGAATATACGATGAAAATCAAATTCCTAAATTGAAAAATATTTTAACTTATTACCAATTTCTAGGAACTCAAGTATCAATATCCGATTCAAAATTAATTTTTGCAGTTCATATTCCTATCTTTAAACCCGAAACTTTTGAATTTTATCATTTGTATCCAATAATTCAAAATCACACAATATATACTCCCACTTTCCCCTATTTGGCACGAGAACAAAAGGAAACTCAATTCGAAAAAGAAGAATGCCCAGCACTAGAAAATTGTTACTACTGTCAACAAAATTTTATTCCCAGGGACAACTGCACCCTCAATTTACTGGAAGGTCATATCCCTCAAAATTGCCATATCTTAGAAGTTAATGTTCAAGAAATGATCGTTCAACAAGTTACCACAGACGAAGTCTTGATAATACCATCCAAAGCGCAACAAATTCTATCAAAATGTAAAAGTAATCGATATCTAGAAGTAGTGAACCCGATTTTAATCAAAATCCCGAAAACCTGCGAAATATGAGCCAACGAACAGAAGTACATTAACGACATTCAACTTACTCAAGGAAAACCATTTATTTTGCCAAAATTTCAAACGGATCACATACACACATCCGGACATTATCAAAGATCTAATATTACCAAAATTGATTTTGATAGTCTGTATGAAATCAACGAAATCTCCAGAAAACTAAAACCGATTCAAGAAAGCTCAAATACTCAAATGGATACACCTATATTTGGAACAATTTTGGGACTTTTAATTACCGGCCTAATCGTCGCAGCTATATTAAAATTCAAGAACAAAATTCCGAAATGCAGAAAAAAGAGAATTGAAAAAACAGAAGAAATTCCGATGGAAGCCCATTTGAAAAATCATTCCATTCTTTTCGAAACTTAAGGAGGGAGGAGTTACGTGTTGCTAAAACTGCTATATAGACAATAAATACTTCCTGTGAATAACTTTTATCTTATCATACTTTTATAAATTTTCCTAGAGATAAACATAGGTGTGGATTAAATGTAAATATATACATTATTCTTTAGCTTGACTTTGATCAATAAAGACATATTAAAAGTAGTTCTTAATTTTTTAAAAAATAATTTTCTATAAAGAAAATTAAAACTCTCAGTTTTCTTTTTTTAAATATATTAGTCATGTTTTTTGGTTGTTGTACGTAATTTTTTTTTCTGTAATTGGCTGTAGAAAATAAGGTTTACTTACGATCATCGGAACGAAAATCAACAACGGCATAGCAAAAACGGCCTTGGTAGTTTCATTCAGTAATAGTATCACCAACTGGATCTTCTTGAACATGAAAATCATCACCAATACCAGAACCAACCATACGACCATAAAACATATTGCTAAGACCAAGTACATGGTTGTATATACCTGGGCGCTGCTTGTGTCCTTGTCTACTGGAGGACTTAAGTAGAACCCCCTGCAAATAATAGTTTTATTTTTTTTAATGTGTTCTCATATAGGGTGTTACAGAATGTTTAAAGAAAATTTAAATCTAAAAATATGAAAAAAGGTCATATAAACATGGGTCAGGAATCCGCCTTCTTCGGCCTTTAATTTTATGGACAAAACTTTTTTTTCACAAGTACGATTACAGTTCACATCGGCTTAGACCAGAAGATTTATTCTTCAATAGTTTACAGTTAACTTTTTAATTTTTACCTTAGCGCCACCGATAATTTTTACATTGTAAAAACCCTTTTTTTTGTTTCCTTACTAGTTTGTTAAGCTTGATAAATAAAAACTTATTGACCGATATAACCAAAATAACTTTAATTTATTTATGTAAAATAAATATTATCAGTCCTTTGCGTTATAAATTGCTTATCTGTTTAAAACAAAAGACATCATTTTTCAAAAAGTACGTACTCACCATGTTGTACCTATGAGGATTGCTCCAAAGAGTAGTACACCACCTAAAATACCCCAAACGACAACAGCTGTGGCGGTTTTGAAGAGGACCAACATTATTATGCCCACACCTAAAAATAATAATAATAATTTCAAATATCGACTATATTCTACGCTCACTTAGAAATTAAATTGTAATGAAGTTCCTTTTAATTAATTTATTTTTTTTATTTGGGAGACAGTATCCGTAGAAAACTGAATTCAGCATAATTATTTAATTTAATGAATCACCGGGTATTTTATTTTTAAAAATTTATGTTTCCAAAAGTTATTGTAGAACTTTAGAAAGCCGGTAATATTTTTTTCTACACCCACATGGATATTAGCTTATCTAAACAGAGACTACTAACCGAAAAAGTATACTATTGCCATTGACGGAACGAATATAGTTTATATCCATTCTACGTAGTGAGAACACGGCAAACAAATGAAATCCACCAATCACTGTTTATATTTTAGTCACCGACTATTATTTTTAAAATTCTAAATAAGTGACATTCTGTCAAACTAATTGTCATATTTTTTAGTTATTGAAATTAAATATACATTAAAATGACTTATTTTTGTGTAGAATTGATAAATAATAGCATTTCTCTTTTTATTTATACTATAATTATAAATAATTTGTTAATTTTAATAAAACTCTATGAAGTCAATTCAATTACGAGTATTAAAAAAATTTCCCAAATCTACCGGTGGATGTGTGGTCAGAGTATCTGCCTTCCACGCGAGAAATCCAAGTTCGAGCCTCGGCTTGTAACGAGCATTTTATACTCGTTAATATTTTATTTTTTCGTATATTTATATTTTTTATTCAAGCAGAAAGAATAATAAATATTGTTATGGTCATTGATTCTTATTTCGTATTTTTGTATTTAATATTTAAAAGGAACTTTTCCAGTATTCCAATTCGAGTAAAATCAAATGTTCTTTGCGCGGATGACGCTAAGCAACGTCAGAGGAAGGGATACGAGAAGTATAAAAGGCCATGCTTCAAAAAAGCCATGAAATATTAAACCTAATTCACTGATAATGCAGCGGAGATAAAGCGACTTCCAGGCAGCCTATATTGCAAAGGTTGCTTCTATTTTTCTTCTCTCATCTTTTCTCTTCACTTTCTTAGTACTTTTTTATTAATTAATTTAGGCATAGTTCCTAATCAAATAAGCTACGCAACTAAATGCCCGATAATTCATAAAAAAAGAACCCTACCCTACTCTACTCTATATCTACTATCCTATTTCCTTTTAACTTTTTTCATTGTTTTATTTGGGGTTTTTTATGTACAGGGTGAGTCGGGAGGAGCGCACTAAACTCTAGGAGTATATTATACACGTGAAAATAATGTAAAAAAACTCATATGTTCTTATCCAATTTTCATTTGTTTTCAAGTTATGGCGTTATTAAAAATGTTCATCTAGCTTTCCACTTCTGAATTTTAACATTATCAAAGTATGCCATATGTTCAAGGCTCAAAGCACATACTTTGATTACTATACGGGGCAAGAGAGAGGTCCGACACGCCCAACATAGGGCGCGGCCATTTTTAACCCTATGACACAGTTTATAGCTAAAGAATCAGATCGCTCACTCTGCGTCGGCACTTTTTATCTTAATGTTCCAGTTTATACACTCCGCAACTCAGATAATACAATATATGACAACCGCCTATAATAAAACAGCAGTCTTCTGCGTATCCTGAATTTGTATCCCTGGAGTGGATGTTATTTTGGAACTTTCAACTGGTCCGAGTGAGCTAACTGATTCTTTAGCAATAAACTGTGACTCCAAAAATAATATTCACTGACACTGACAGCAGCAAGCAAAATATCAGGTGCGTCTTAATCATCCGCTTCTGCTTCCGGAATTGTCGGTTCAGTCGTTCTAACCTGTCAGATTAAAACAAGAAAACCGACAATTCCGAAGCAGAAGCGGATGATTAAAACGCACCTATTAAAAATATTGCGCCAAGATGTAGACAACACGTAATAAGGGTTCAAAATGACGGAGTTTTCTATCTCCTTTTAAAAAGCACTCAGAAAGCTGCGCAGTGCGACCATTCTCCGTATTCGCTCCGTGCGCGACAGCAGCGCCAATTCGTTTTGATACTAATGGACTATTTCTGCGTACACTGACAAATGCAACTTTTAATAGAATTCGTAATTAAAAAGTATATATGGTAGTTTTAATAAAAGTATATGGATTTGTAAAACAAGTAAAACATTAATTTATTATTATTATATATTTTTATCGCTTAAATTAAAGAAAATTATGTATAATCGATAAAAATGAATAATAAAATATAGGCAGGCAACAGTATTTACTGGAAATTGTATGAGAAGTTGCCTAAGTCTAATAAGTTTTTATTGAAGAATTACTCTAATCTGTCAAAATAAAAAAATTCCATTTAATAATAGCGTGAAGTTAAAATGTATAAAAAAAGAATCATTACTAATATTTTCATTTTTGTTCGAAAGAAAACATAGAATGAATGATTTAAACTGATTTCCCATCAGTAAGTTACAAAATTGCGTTCCAACCACATATAATAATCAAAGGCAGAAATCTTGAAATCTAGTCCTTGCTGAATGAACATTTAAGAATAAGGGATATTAAAAAACATGGTAAAATGATAATTTATTGTTGATTTAAAACCTTTCAAGTTTCTGATGTCTACTATTTGCAGCATTACGGTTATTATTACAAAAATAAAGGTAATTTTTCTTCTTATTGTATATCTATCCATTTATTTCTTTGATTTAATTTCCACTTTGCTACTGAAATTTTTTATATAAGTTTCACTGTTTTTTTTGCTAGTATTTGTTCAATTTTCAACACAGCAACTCCGGTTGCTTATTGTATTGTTTTTACCTACTTTTTTTTGAAAAAAAAGTGAAATGTATACGTGTATTTGATATGCCAAAATTTCAAAATATCGCCCTAAAATGCACGAATTATCCGCAGCTAGCGCTAGTATCGCTTTTGCTTCCCTTTCCATGACTTCGCACGGAGCGAATAGTAAAAGAAAATCAAAGTATGTGGCTCAAAGGCATTTGATAATTCTGACGTTTTGATGAACTGTCAGTGTACAGTGAACAGTAACTGAACGTTTAATTTCGAATGTATGTGATTGTTAGTGTTGCAAAATGCCAGGATACTTATTCAAATTTAAAATATGCAAATATGGTGTTTGTTTATGGTTTCTGTAATGGAAATGCTACAGCTGCTGCTAAAGAATATCGTCAACGTTTTCCACATCGAAAACATCCTGATAAAAACGTATTTATTAGAGTTTTCAACAAATTGTGCGAGACTGATAAGCTTCCCAGTGCTTTCATAACATCTGAAAGCGCTACTCGACAAGGTTTTGTAGAAGTAGAAAATATTCTGCATCTAGTAGAAGAAGATGCAACTACTAGCTCACGGAGAATTGCCACTCATTTGGGAATTCCACAAAAAAGAGTGATAAACACACTCCACGAGCAATATATATCCTTATCACGTACAGAGAGTACAGCATCTACAACCACAGGATTACGCTAACCGTATGGAGTTTTGTCGGTGGATAAATAATAATCATCGTGTTGTATCGAGTATACTCTTTACGGATGAAGCTACATTTACCCGTGATGGCATTAATAATACTCGTAACTATCATGTATGGTCATGTATAGTCCAGTGCTCCGCAACCTTTCCTCATCTGAGGCACACCAAACTGCTCCCTAGAATTTCGTGGCACACCAAAATCTAAAATATATTTATAGCAGTGGCGTAGCTAGGTCGGGGGTCAGTTCACTCCATGTATACTAATTATTTATGGATGTCCAAACTACCTTAGTTTTTTTTTATTGTTTTAAAATGTGAAGAAGCCCCTTTCAGATTTGGGGCATCAAAATTTTCACTCAGGATATAATACATATTTTTTTTTTATTTTTTTTTATTATTCAGATAGAATGAAAAATACAAATAGGTACATACATGAGAACTATACTAAATACTAGGTAGGACAGGTAGGTATACTAAATTTACTTCTGTTGACACGTCAATAGTAATAAATATTTTGACATGATGATGACTGATTAATGTGATACCTGCGCTTGCTTCGTTGAACACAAAAGTTTTATATTCGGCTCAATTTTAGACAGCGCAACTCTCATTTCTTGGTCAAGATCTTTTAAGCATGACCGTTTATCATTTTTAATTAATACAAGCGTTGTGGAAAACGGAAGTAGTGTGAAGATGGCCTTGCGTGGATATTCTGTCTTGATGGAAATCCAGAAAACATCTAACGGAACTTCGTCGAATTTAAGTTTTAGGGTCATATCATTACTTAATTCTGTGAACTCCTTTCGAGTTTGCAATGGCAGTGCTTCCGTGGAACTTATTGCATTGGTTGCGAAAGGATTTCGAATCCAATTGTATTGTTCCGTGTTGATAGAATGGAAATAGTATTCAAATTTTTGTTGAAGCATACTTAAATGTTGTTGGGCCAAATCCACAATCAACTGCTTGTTTTCGATCGTACTGTGGTTGGTCCTGTGATACATTTCTAGACATCCTTTTTGCAACTGTTCCTGCCAAAGTTCAAGTTTCTTTTTGAACCCTTGTAATGTATCGGAGCACGTCAATATATTTTCATTCCGTCCTTGCATTTTTTTATTAAGTTCATTCAGATGTTCGAATATATCCGCCATGTATGCAAGTTTGGCTATCCAGTATTCATCATGAAGGTGCTGGCATAGATCGTACATATCTTGACTTGAAAGAAACACACGCACTTCGTAGCGAAGTTCAAACAGTCGAGCTAAAACTTTTCCCCGGGATAACCAACGAACTTCTGTATAAAACAGTAAGGATTCATGTTCGCTTCCCATTTCTTCACAGAGTATTCCAAAGATTCGCGAATTTAAGGCTCTCGATTTAATTATGTTTATGATCTTAATACATTCATTCATTGTGATCGAAAGCTGTTCGGGCAAATTTTTGACCATCAATGCTTCTCGATGTATGCAGCAATGTGTAATTTGTATTGACGGATTTTTTTGTTTTACACAAGATACAAAACCTTTCT